TAACACAGGTAGGGGGGGTGTTTTATCAAGGGGAGGGAGGGGTGTGGTATCAAGGGTTTGGGAGGGGTGGTTCAAGGTAAAGGAGAGTTGATAATCAAGGTTTGGGAGAAAAAGGGGGATCAAGGTTGGGAGGGTGTTGGGACCCCAAAGGGAGGGAGAGTGTGGGGTTTTCAAGGTTGGGAGGGGGGTGGTTTCAAAGGGAGGGGGAGTTGGTATCAAGGTTTGGGAGTGGTGGTATCACGGTAAAGGGGGGTGTGGTTTTCACGGGAGGGGGAGGTGGTATCACAGGGAGGGAGAAGGGGTGATTTTCACAGGTTTGGGGGGAGTGGTTTATCCCAGGTAGGGGGGGGTGTGATAACACAGGGAGGGAGAGTTGGTATCACCGGTTGGGGGAGTGTTTATCACAGGTTGGGGGGGAAATGGGGTATACAGGTTTGGGAGAGTGTGGTATCACAGGGAGGGGAGAGTGTGGTATCCAGGGAGGGAAGTGTGATATTACAGGTGGGAGGGGGAACAATAAAATTTTTTCCCAATTGGGGAGGTGATCCCCAGGGAGGGAAATGGTGGATATTTCCGGTGGGGGAATTTTTGATAGCCGGGAGGGAGGGTTGAATTTCCGGTTAAGGGAGGTTTTTTATTTACAGGAGGGAGTTTTGGGTTTCCTAAAATTTTATATCAAAATAAAAAGGGAAAATGGATATCCCCCATAGGGATAGTTTTACCTTTTAAAAGGGATAAAATGTTTTTTTTTCACAGTAGGGGAGGGAAAAATTAAAATTTTTGGTTTAATTGATATCAATTTTTGGGAAATTGGTATTTCCCTAGGGGGAAGGGTTTTTTAAAGGGAAGGGGAAATTTAAAATTTTCAATTTTTTGGGGGGTTTGGTACAAAATTTGGTTTTGTGGAAAAACCCGGTAGGGAGGAAAGGGGGAAGGAAGGGGGAATGTAAAATCCACATTGGGGGGAAATGTGAAATTAAAGGGGGGAGGGTTGTTTAAATCAAGGTTTTGGGGGAATGGAATTCCCAGGGGGAGAGGTTTTAACAATAAATTTGATTAAGGTAAAGGGAAAATGTTTAATTCCACAGGTTTTTATTTTGGGTTTTACAGGTAGGGAGGGAAAATTTGGGAAAAAAGGTTAAGGGGAAAATGGGGTTTTTCCATAAAGTGGTTTTTTTTCAAGGTAAAGGCTTTTTGTACCCCGGTAGGGGGGGTTTTTAAAAATTTTTAAAGTTTTTTTGGAAAACCCCAATACCCCCATTTACCCCCCAGTGGCATAAAGCAAGGAAATTTTCACCCTGGCCCCGGGCCCCGCAGGGTCCGTCTGCAGCTGCTCCTGACCTCAGCTGTGCTTGTAGTCTCCGAGCACTTGAGTCCGGCTACTCAACGTGAGTTTGTTTTAGCTAACTGCCCATCCTTTTGATGTTCATGTCTATCTTAATTTTATATCTACTTAAATAAGAAGAGAAGCACTGCAGCAGGCCTACTGGCCCACGCTAGACGGATCCTAGTCAAATGTAACTCTTCTAACTAGTATAAATGTCTTATATTCTTACTGTAGTTGATAAAGACCCTAGAGCAGAAATTATAGACATTATTTGTTTCCTGTCCTTCCACTTGAGATCAATTTTATGTGAACATCAAAATGGTATTCAATACCGACAGGTTGTTAGGTAAGACACATATGCAACAGTTAGACAACTTTATTCCGAAACGTTTCGCCTACACAGTAGGCTTCTTCAGTCGAATACAGAAAGTAGGCAGGAACAGTAGAGATGTGAAGACGATGTAATCAGTCCATCACCCTTGAAGTCGTAGAATTTGAGGTTGTCAGTCCCTCGGCCTGGAGAAGTTCAGACTATGGAACTGAACTTCTCCAGGCCGAGGGACTGACAACCTCAAATTCTACGACTTCAAGGGTGATGGACTGATTACATCGTCTTCACATCTCTACTGTTCCTGCCTACTTTCTGTATTCGACTGTAGAAGCCTACTGTGTAGGCGAAACGTTTCGGAATAAAGTTGTCTAACTGTTGCATATGTGTCTTACCTATCAATTTTATGTGTTTTACTGTTTCTGTGAGGAATAAATTTTCTTTGTGTAGCTGGTACGTAATTTAGAAAAATATATTGATAATTGTTTGTTATTGTTTACAAAATCTCCGTCAAGGGTCACCTGCCAGGTTACCCCAGTCAGTGTTAAGAACATAAGAACGAAGGAACACTGCAGCAGGCCTACTGGCCCATGCGAGGCAGGTCCAAGTCTCCTACTGGAGTTAAGCCAATGCACCCAACTTAGGTGCTCTTCGCACCTACTCCTAGGTTGAGGGACTGATTACCTCATCTTCTGTACACAGTTCTACTGTCTTCAAGTTATGTTCTAGAATTTGTATTGATAAAGCCACTGGATGGCGACACGTCTACAATAAAGATACCCAGATGTTGCACATGTGTCTTAATCTCAACTTGTCGGTATTATATACCATTCGTACACAACTTAGTCAGGTCAGGTCACATTGACTTAAGGGAGGAACACGGCAAGCGACCCACATCCACTCATGTATTTGTAAAGTAAAAGGACACAAGTGCAACTAATGTGACATTTATTGTGGCAACGTTTCGCTCTCCAGGAGTTTTATCAAGCCTGATAAGCTTGATAAAGCTCCTGGAGAGCGAAACGTTGCCACAATAAATGTCACATTAGTTGCACTTGTGTCCTTTTACTTTACATATTGTCGGTAATTCTACCAACTTTATTACACTCATGTATTTATCCAACCTATTTTTAAAGCTACACAACGTTCTGGCTTCTATAACGGTACTCGGGAGTTTGTTCCACTCATTCACAACTCTATTACCAAACCAGTACTTTCCTATATCCTCCCTGAATCTGAACATAAGAACATAAGAAAGGAGGAACACTGCAGCAGGCCTGTTGGCCCATACTAGGCAGGTCCTTTACAATTTTTCAAACTTAAAACCATTGCTTCCTAAGTTATTATCGAACGACACTTTCATTCTACTCCTTTGTATGATGAAAGTAAAGACACTTGTGTAACATCTACAATGTAATAAAGTTGGTAGAATTACCGACAATGTGTAAAGTAAAAGGACACAAGTGCAACTAATGTGACATTTTATTGTGGCAACGTTTCACTCTCCAGGAGCTGCTTGAGAAATGAAATTTAAGACATGTGCAACATCTGGAAATCTTGCACATATTTCTTGAGTAGCTTTAGGTAGATGTCGTTTTGATAAGGACATGCCTCGCATGGGCCAGTAGGCCTTCTGCAGTGTTCCTACATTCTTATGTTCTTATAATGCATAGAATTGTAGCAGAACTTCTGGATATTTTTTTAAGAACATAGGAACATAAGAAAGGAGGAACACTGCAGCAGGTAACTTAGACCTGCCTCGCATGAGCCAGTAGACCTGCTGCAGTGTTCCTTCTTTCTTATTTTCTTTCCTGCCTCTCTTCCACAGCTCTTCACGTGGTACATGTGCTGGAACCAGCGGAATACTACTTCAGCAACGCCCGTCCAGGAAACAGCCAGGTCCAGTCACTTATCACTGCGGTGTCTACACCTCATTCTCTTAGTGTTGTCCAAGACGTTACTTCTCTTATTGGCTTTAAGACACTGCTGCATGACTTGAAGACACAACTCATTAACTCTAAGATCGAGTTGAATACACTACTTCCAGAGTTGAAGAGGTTATTCATGAGGTACAAGAGGTTTCTCATCGAATCCAAAATAGAGTTGATAGACCCACTAATTGAACTGAAGAGATTTCTTATTGAATCCAAGACAGAGTTGAAGCCAATACTATCCAATTTGAAGCGACAGTTCATCGAGTCCAAGCCAGAGTTATTGAGTCTACTCAGCACATACAAACCTGAGTTGAAGAGACAACTTATCGAGTCTGTGCCAGAAATCAAGTCACTGCTTCTTGGATTAAAAACACAGTTCACAGAATCAAAGCTAGAGATAGTGGCATTTATCCTTGATTTGAAGGAACTACTCATCGATTCACAGCCTGAAATAGGGGCCTTCTTCACTGCAGTGAAGGAATTATTCGTAGGTGCTGAACTAACTCCACTTCTAGCTCCACTGAAGGGACTATTCATAGAACTGAAGCCTGAGTTGGGGACTCTTCTCATTGACATGAAGAGAGCATTGAGAGAGCCGCAGCCGCTAACACAAGATGTTAGTCTATTGCCCCTTGAGTCTGAGGTGCAGTTTCCAGACTTTATAGACAAACTCTTCGCTTCCTAGTAATTGCAAGACACACTCAGTCACCTAGCAAGCTTCAACGGGCAACTTAGGCTTCTAGTCTCGTTTAGTCACGCTATAAATAAATAAAGCTAGGATACATGGTTAGCATACTCCTGTGCCAGTCATCGTAGTGCATATAATTGCAGTAGATTGACAAATGTAGTTTTCTAACTCTTACGTAGAACTGATGTGAAATAAAACTTTTAATAAAATGAACCTTAGTGTTTTTAAATGGAGATTTTGTAAATGACAATGTGAGAATTAGACCATACCCCGGCCGGGATTGAACCCGCGGTCAGAGAGTCTCAAAACTCCAGACCGTCGCGTTAGCCACTAGACCAGCTAGCCACAATAAGATTCGTCCAACTAGGTATATTTCTACACCATAGGAAAGTTAGCATAGGCATCACTGTGACCACAAATGCAAGTTTTTACAGACGAATCTCCAGCTAGAGTGGCCGTGACGAACTCTAGCTCAAGTCCCCTCACTGCCGTCAACATGGATAGCTGGTCTAGTGGCTAACGTGACTCTCTGACCGCGGGCTCAATACCGGCCGGGGTATGGTTTGTTTGCAATCGTGTCAGTACGATTTCGTGAGTCATGAGAATTAGACATTTACGAATTAGAAAGCTTCAAATTCTAATCTTTGATGATACATAGCCCAAGATATTTGTTTACTGTTATTTATGGATCTCAAAGAAAAACACGTTAATAATCATAATTTATTCGTAATACAACAAATGGATTCTACTCATAACTAAAATTAATGATTTCTTACAATAAAACAAATGTATTGTAATCACATGCTAAAAATCCTAATTATTTCTTCATAATAATGTAAATACGTTGTAAATTCTTCACCCAGTTTAAGATCCTCGTTGTAAATTCTTCACCCAGTTTAAGATCCTCGTTGTAAATTCTTCACCCAGTTTAAGATCCTCGTTGTTTACGATGGTCGCCAGCAGGACTTCGTCCCCGGCTTACCTGGGTATCAATTAAGGGCTCTTCCGCCTATAGGGGCACGATACACAGTGACGGGTGGAACCTGACCCCTTGAAGATATTTATATAAATCATGTTCGAAAACCAAGGTCGCTCGACTTAGCTTGGAGATACCGAGGCGTTGTGTACGCCCGAAGTTATCTATAGAACAAGATGGGGTCTCCGCATTATATCCAGGAAGGTCCTCTTGACGTTGGCGGCGACGTTAGAGTAGAGGTCTTGAGAGGGAACGAGATAACCTTGATAGTATTGAGAATCGTAGGAGTGACGATGGGAAGGGATGCCTGAGTAGACGGGCTGATGATGGTGCCTTTCCCTGTAGGGACGTTGATATACTCCAGAGTCTGCAGACATAAAAATGTCAATTAGAAATATGTGGCAGTAATAAAACATAATGCAATAAATGAGCCGCATAATTATTAGCCCAAAACCCACACCAGTGATACATTTCAATGTTTAATGTTAGGATTACCCCAATAAAAAATACAAATGAAAGTGTAAATTAAGAAAAAAAGGCACAATACCGCGACTGGAACAATACATAAAACTTTGTTTTTCGTATGTACGGGTTATTTGCATAAAAATGTAAATAATTCCAACTATAAGAAATGAGTAAAACTTTTCGAAACATCAATGGAAACGTTGCAAGGAGGTAAACTGACAGTAGACTACAATACCTAAGTATGGGGAAGGATCGTACTGGTAGTAATCGTAGTCGTAAGGTGGAGGTTTGGCGTCAACCAGAGCAGCACCCAGCAGCACCACCAGCAGGAGAGAGCACCTCGTCAGACAGTTCCTGATGTTAGCAGTCATGGTGGCTGGTTAAAGGAAGGATTATAACCTAAATAAGAATTAACTAACAACCTCTCTGGTCAAGAGACAGCAGGGAAGTGAGAATATGAGATTGTTAATGCTGCTTATATACCCTCCGATGCTATGGCAACCTGAAGTCTACCCGGAGGGTAGCTCCCCCTCCACCACTCCCCCACTTCCCTCCCTGTCATAAGAACTGAGGAGTTCTGCAGTAGACAGGTATGTCTACAGTAGACAGGTATGGTATGGTTTGTTTTGACAGGTCCTTCATTAACACAACTATTAATTGAAAAATGGAGATACCGACAAGATGATTAAAACGACATGTACAGTTAAGAACATAACGTGAGAGAGAAGGAACACTGTAGCAGGCTTACTGACCCATGTGAGGCAGGTCCAATTCCCCCACCGGCTTAAGCCAATGTTTTGACTTAGTCAGGTCAGGCACATTCACTTAAGGGAGGAGCACGGCATCCGACCTAGTAGCACAAGATAGGCAGGTCCAACTCACACCCACTCGTGTATTTATCTAACCTATTTTTAAAACTACACAACGTCTTAGCTTCTATGACGGTACTCGGGAGTTTGTTCCACTCATCCACAACTCTATTACCAAACCAGTGCTTTCCTATATCCTTCCTGAATCTGAAATTTCCAATTTAAAACCATTGCTGCGAGTCCTGTCTATGCTAGATATATTTAGCAAGCTATTTATATTAACGTTTCGCCACATACGTGTCTAGGTCAGGTCACTGGCCGGTGGGAGACTTGTACCTGCTTCGCATGGGTCAGTAGGCCTCCTGCAGCGTTCCTTCTTTCATATGTTCTTAATGGCTTCTTCTTGGACTGAAAAAGCCATTACTGGCGAAACGTTTCCTCTGATAAATGTCCTAAACTGTACATAAGTTGAAGATTGAGACAAATTAGACACATGTGCAACTCTTGGGTATCTTTATTGAGGAAACGTTTCGCCACACAGTGGCTTCATCAGTCCATACATAGGAGAAACTTGAAGAACAGGAGGAGAATGAGGTAATCAGTCCCTCAGCCTGGAGTCGATGTGGACTAAACACATCGACTCCAGGCTGAGGGACTGATTACCTCATTCTCCTTCTCTCCTTACGCCTTCCTCTTTGTATTGGACTGATGAAGCCACTGTGTGGCGAAATATTTCCTGAATAAACATTCCCATATGCTGCATAAGTGTCTCAATCTTCCACATTCTACAAGATTGATAGACTGAACACATCGACTCCAGGCTGAGGGACTGATTACCTCAAACTCCTCCTCTCCTTACGCCTTTCTACTTTGTATTGGACTGATGAAGCCACCGTGTGGCGAAATGTTTCCTGAATAAAGATTCCCATATGTTGCATAAGTGTCTCAGTCTTCACCTACTCCAAGGTTGAGGGACTGATTACCTCATCTTCTGTACATAGTTCTACTGTCTTCAAGTTATGTCCTGGAATTTGTATTGATAAAGCCACTGGATGGCGAAACGTCTACAATAAAGATACCTAGATACCTTGTTTCATACTATGGAACAAAGCTCTTCTCCAGACTGAGGGACTGACCACCTCAAAACTTTAAGGGTGATGGACTGATTACATCGTCTTCAAGTATCTTCTGCTTCTATCAACTTTTCTGTACTTGACTGAAGAAGCCTACTGTGTAGGCGAAACGTTTCATAATAAAGATACCTAACTGTTGCATATGTGTCTTACCTAACATACCTAGATGTTGAACATCAAAATGGTATACAATACCGACAGGTTGGTAGGTAAGACACATAGGCAACAGTTAGGCAGATGTTGTACATGTCTTAAAATTAGTCCCTTAACCTTGAGTCGATGTAATCAGTCCATCATTCTCCTTTGTATGAACGTTTCGCCATTAAACATACCCAAGTGTTGCACATGTGTCGTATTTATCGACTTTGAAGATTTTCTAACCTATTTAGAAGAATATTAGACGCAAGTGTGATATGGCACTTGTGACATGGTGACGTGAAGAATGCCATATTGGGATGAGGAGAGATAGACAATGGGATGTGACTTAGACCTGACTGGCTTGGGCCAGTAGGTAACTTGGACCTGCCTCGCATGGGCCAGTACGCCTACTGCAGTGCTCCTTCTTTCTCATGTTCTTATGTTCGAAAACAAATGCAATTATTGCGTTCCTACGCATTTTTATTGCGGTAATGGGCGTAGTGAATGTAACGGGCGTAGTGGATGTAATGGGCGTAGTGGGCGGAGGCAGCGCCTGCCCTGGCCAGTAGGCCTTCTGCAGTGTTCCTCCATTCTTATGTTCTTATGTCCTTAAGTGCAATTAATGTGACATTTTGTTGTGGCAACGTTTCGCTCTCCAGGAGAGCGAAACGTTGCCACAATAAAATATCACATTAGTTGCACTTGTGTCCTTTTACTTTACATATTGTGGGTAATTCTACCAACATTATTACAAATATTCACACTGCATAACAGGAATTACGTTTGATTACATTAAATATAAATTTTGGAAATTAGGTCCACTGTATCTTTTCCATTTTTTCGCATCACTGGAGCTAATTTGAAATCGTACTAGCTATGCGAATGCAAAATGCGATGCAGGTAGCTTTGCCTCTCTCTCTCTCCCCTCTCTCTCTCTCTCTCTCTCTCTCTCTCTCTCTCTCTCTCTCTCTCTCTCTCTCTCCTCTCTCTCTCTCTCTCTCTCTCTCTCTCTCTCTCTCTCTCTTTCTCTCTCTTTTTTTTTTTTTTTTTTTTTTTTTTTTTTTTTTTTTTTTTTACACAGGGTTTGACAAGGTTAAGGATCCCTAGCTTTATTGACAGCTATTTACGGGTTAAGGATTCCTAACTTTATTGGCAACCTAAGAGCTGTTACCTACATCAGCTCATTTGAAAGCATTTTATTGTTATGAGACATACAAGTAGGGAACAGGATGAAGTTGGAGCCATCTGTGGGCCAGCATTTTCATTTGATCAACTGACTTTATCTCGTTGACATCATTATGCTGTACGAATGTGTTCCATACTCGAGTCATCCTGGGTATGTATGATCTCAGATGGAGTGATGTTCTGGAGAAGGGTACAGCCAGAGTGAAGTTGCTGCTTTCTGCCCGTCTTGTGGCATAAAAGCTTGTTTCACGCTGTCCTCGAAGTGGATCCAAGTGTGATATTTTGACAATATTGGCCTTGTACATAACAGTAAGGCCACCCACATCCCTCCTATGTTGAAGGCTCTGCTGAAATGACAGATCTATCCAGGATGGGTCCAGGCAAGAGATGAGACGTCTTGCTCTGTTCTCTACTCTGTCAAGCAGTCGCAGATGAGAGGGGGGGCAGGCAAACCAAGAAAGTGGAGCATACTCAAGGTGTGAGCGTACTTGTGCCTCGTACAGGATCTTGCAACCCCTACTGTCAAGCAGATGCGAGATACGGCAAAGTGCTATAAGCTTCCTGGCTGCCTTTTTTGCAAGATTTACAACATGGTTCTTCATGGTTAGTTTGGAGTCAAATTTCACCCCAAGGATATCAACTTCTTCTCCAGGTGCCAACATCCTCCCATTCATCCTTACTACTGCACCAGCATTACCATCATGGTGCCTAGAGACGATCATCATTTGCGTTTTCTCAGGTGCAAATGTTACTTGCCATCTATTTCCCCAAGCTGATATAGCACTCAGCTGGTGATTGATGTAGCTTAGAGTAGCTGGCATTTCTTCTCTTGGATAAGTGAATGTCAGTGTACAGTCGTCTGCATATGCATGTGATTCTGGGATGAGATGAAGAAGGTCGTTGAAGTAGACATTCCATAACAATGGACCCAGCACGCTTCCTTGTGGAACGCTTGCCCCAATAGGATGCCTTGCTGATTCCGTTCCATTGAGGACTACACTTAGAGATCTACCATGAAGGTAATCACTGAGGAGACATAGCGTAGAGCCTGCAATTCCCAGTGCTTGAAGTTTTGCTAAGAGGCCCTGGTGCCACACCCGGTCGAAAGCGCCAGCAATGTCCAGTGCTACCACACAGCTGACTTTGGCTCATCCAGTGACTGGTGCCACTTAGTGGAGAGGTTTAACAACAGATCAGCAGCAGAGTAACCTTTCCTGAAGCCATATTGACGATCACAAAGTAGTGAGTGGTAGTCAAAAAAATCTGTCATTTGTCTTGAGATTATTGTCTCAAGGATCTTACCAGTGATTGACAGGAGTGACACTGGTCTGTAGTTGCTGATTTCTGCTCTGCTCTTCTTTTTGTGAACAGGGACTACATTTGCCTCTTTCCATAGAGAGGGCCATTTACACTGTACTAGGCAGTGCTGAAAGATGCGAGTTAGAGGTGCTGCTAGCTGGTCTGCACATCTTCTCAACAATCTTGGGCTCAACTTGTCTGGGCCCACAGCCTTTTCTTGGTCAAGTGATTTAAGAAGGAAATGCACCTCCTCCTGCCTTATTGTCACCACTGAGAGTTTTGACACAGTTCTTGCAGCTAGCCAAGGAGGGTCCCTTGCTGGATCAGGAACTTGCATTTTGGTAGCAAAGTGTTCAGCAAAGAGGTCCGCCTTCTCTTGACTACTAGTAGAGGTGGTCCCATCCTGTCGATTTAGAGGTGGAATAAGTTCATCAGGCAGATAACCTTGTCTGTCCTTGACCAGGGACCACCAGGTTTTGGAGCCTACCCTACCTCTCTCTCTCTCTCTCTCTCTCTCTCTCTCTCTCTCTCTCTCTCTCTCTCTCTCTCTCTCTCTCTCTCTCTCTCTCTCTCTCTCTCTCTCTCTCTCTCTCTCTCTCTCTCTCTCTCTCTCTCTCCACTAAAAACTTTCAACTATTAATTTCCAGTCAAGTCTATTAACCATCAGGCCTCGATTCATCAACTATCTCTCCTCAGCCCTCAACCAACCTCATCGTTTCAGACTATGGAACAGAACTCTTCTCCAGGCTGAGAGATTGACCACCTCAAATAAAGAGTGATGAACTGATCACATCGTCTTCACATCTACTGCTCCTGCCTACTTTCTGTACTCGACTGAAGAAGTCTACTGTGTAGGCGAAACGTTTGGGAATAA